CCTGCCATCCTTATTGGAATTGAAAATAATATTTCTGTTTTTTTTTTGGGGGGGGGCGTCTGTCGTGGGCCTGAACGCTGGACCTGGGCGCTGTCCCCTCAGCTATTCAGCTAAAGGCTAGCACTCTACCACTTGAGCCACAGCGCCACATCCGTCTTTTTTCTTTTTGCTTATGTGGGTGTTGAGGAATCAAACCCAGGGCCTCAGGCATGCAAGGCAAGCGCTCTACCACTGAGCCACCTTCCCAGCCCCGAAAATAATATTTCTTAAGTGAAAAGGTTATTTATAAAAGAAAAGATCTGTATGAAAATAAGCTACAATCAAGTGCATTGCTATTTCAGAATTAAAGAAAGTACAAGTAAGCCGGGCGCTGGTGGCTCATGCCTGTAATCCTAGCTACTCAGGAGGCTGAGATCTGAGGATCACAATTCAAAGCCAGCCCGGGCAGGAGAGACCGTGAGACTCCTATCTCCAATAAACCACCAGAAAACCGGAAGTGGCGCTGTAGCTCAAGTGGTAGAGCGCTCGCCTTGAGCTGAAGAGCTGAAGGACAGCGCCCAGGCCAGAGTTCAAGCCCCACGACCGACAAAAAAAAAAAAAAAGAAAGTACAAGTAGAAAAGGGTGGGGCCTTACCAAATTACCACAGAAATCACAAAAAATTTAAAAAAACTCAGAACTACCAAGAAACACTCAAAACAACAGTGACTTGTGCAACATACAGAGCAGTGTAGCAAATAATAAGTTCTAACTATGGTTTACCATAGGCAATAAGGGTAAGAAAAGCTATTCTTCACAGTCAATCTCTCATTCTGGGAAAGCTGCCTATGGGTCTAGTCTTATCACAAATTAGTGCCCTTGACAACAATACCACTGTGTCTATCAGAACACCAATCACACCATCTGCTGTTAGAGTGGCAGCAATTCTTAACAGTGAGTATTATAATAGCAAACTACAAACCAGCAACCAAAACAATACAATAAAAATAGTTGGTTTACCAATTTTATCCACATATGCAGCCAATTCTACAACTGTCCACATCCCCCCACTGACCTTCACTCTCCTATTTATCAGTAAGTACACACATGACACTGTGCCAAACACCAACACTCAACTTCACCTGCAGCAGCTTCTCCGGGCAAACTCTACCCCCCCCACTCCTCCCCCAATGAGGAATTAAGGAATTGTGCTCAAAATACAAAAGCAAAGAACCTGTGCTAATTATGAAACCAAGTCCCTGTTAAGCCAGTCACCAAGTACCTGTTATAAAATCACATGCTCGGGGCTGGGAAGATGGCTCAGTGGTAGAGCGCATGCCTTGCATGCCAGAGGCCCTGGGTTCAATTCCTCAGCACCACATAAGCAAAAAGAAAAAAAAAAGCCGGAAGTGGCGCTGTGGCTCAAGTGGTAGAGCGCTAGCCTTGAGCTGAAGAGCTGAGGGACAGCGCCCAGGCCCAGAGTTCAGGCCCCACGACCGGACCCCCCCCAAAAAATAAATAAAAAATAAAATCACATGCTCTTATGGAGGCAATACTAAACCCTGACTTCATATTAGTCGCTTGAGGAGAATTAAAATAATGCCAATGCTGGACCTCATCCCAAACCAACTAAATCAGAATATCTGGAGGTGGGGTCCAGCATAGATGCTTTTGCTTCCCCAGAAGTGCAGACAGGGTTGAAATCCATCAAATTTAACTTATTTCTAGAGTGGTATTTCTAAAATACTTGTAAATCTACAAATCTTTAGAACAACAATCACAAAACTCCCCTTCTGCCATCTTAGCTGTATAATACATCAAACTGTGTCACTTTAAAACTATGACCCTATTATTTGTTTACAGCAGTGTAAGAGTACCTTGAGGTCACACGTACACGCTCTGTGGCCCCTGGCCCAGGAGCTGTATGTGAGTCTTGTGGTGGCCTTGCTGGCATGCAGATGCCAGGCACTGAATAGAGTGCAACTGGCAGTGTTCAGGCAAGAAACAGTCTCAGTTCAGTACCCTGGCAGGAGGGAACCTTCATAGTTCAGGCATGATTATCAGACTCTTTGTGCTCTTAAAGGAGAGTAATTATAGGCATGTGAAAAAAGGAAAGCACTCCCTGAGGAACTCTTCCTCACATGCTTCCCAAGAGGCATGAGAGCCATTAAAAATTCCATGATGAAGAGGAAAAACAGCCTGGGAACAGCCAGGAGGCAATACAGCAAATTAATACACCAGCCCTCCTCAGGGAAAGCTGTGATAAAACAGGAAACACTTTTCTCTTTGCAAAATAAAATTATACCATTAATGATAACATAGTCACCACACACACACACACACACACACACACACACACACACACACACACACACTCTAATGATGGGTGTAAAATTCCCAATGCTGCCCAGATGCCTTGAAAGAAAGCTTTTCCTACTACAATTAAAATGGGACAAGAAAAAGATAAAATTTCTATTTGAAACATTTTTTTTAATGAGGCATTTGGCTGCTGCTTCTCTACCACCACTGGTTCCTTTACATTCTCTCTTAGAAGCCAGACTATTGTTAGTTTACATGTGCAAAACTCACAGCCTAGTTCCTAATTGGATTTCAATATTCTCCCACACTAGAGTTAGACTCTTTCTCCACTCACTCTTTGCTGACAAGGACCTCTTTCCCCTATTTCAAAGGTGTGAGGGGTAGCCCCAAGAGGTCAGTGCCTCCTGATTCATATTTTCCAAAATGTACACAGGTCACCTGCACTTATCACCTCCCACAGAACAGTTGTTGCCAAACCTGATGTGTACCTTCACTGATTAAAAATGTGAGGAAAGAGTTGTTATAGATGTAATACATACCCATAACTATAAATATGTACCACTAGACTAATATAACTATTTAAATTAAAACAAAGAAATTTTTAAGGAGAAGATAATAAATAAATGCTAAGTTTAAAACCTTCATGCATGCAACCATTTGGTGTCCACAATCCTAAGAATGCTGTCTAGAAGTAAGACTAAAAAGACAATCTCTAATGTTCCACATTCTCTCTCTTTTAGTAACCATCTATATCAACAGCAGTATTTCCCTGGAGCCATGAATACCAGAAGCTCACTGGGACTTTCTAAGGTTTCCAAGTCCAGTCACAAACACCACCAGGTAAGAGGACAGTAATGATGCAGATAATGAGATACACCAAGAAACAAGCTGTTGCCACCGTGTCCAATCAAAGTGAGGCTTCTGAAGGGAAAACCTGAGAGAAACATAGATACTGGCCTTAGTACAACAGCCCAGCTCTAGGTAGCTGAAGTAAAAGGAGGAGGGTAATCACTTTGAGCATTGGACTTGACAGGCACTTACTCATATCATTTTCCCAAAGAATATTCACAGGCATTACTTTGGTGCCAAAACAAAAAGCTACGGGACAGCTTTCCTACAGACTGAAGTCTTGTCTTTTTGAACACCACCACCTCTAAGATAACCTCCCCAGAGCTTGAGTTAGGAGCTCATCCTCTGTGCTTCACATAATTAGGAAACAGACTTTTATTGCAATTGTCAATTTCCATACCTGCCTTTCCCTGAGGCTGTAGTTCCTAAACAAAAGGCCCAGTACTTAGTAGGGAGTCAGTGAATACTGAATGAATAAACAAAAAATAAGCACTACTACTAAAGAAAAAGCCTCAAAGTGATAGTTTATATCACCCTGCAATTTTCCATTCTTTTTCTTTGGGTGGTGCTAATGTCGGAATACCCTATCTGGTTACTCAAGCCATGCCACCAGCCCTAATTTTCCACATTCTTAGTAACACCATCTATGATGGTCTTTCTTTTCAAAAGACTATCTCTACTGAAATGCTACTTGTCTTGTAGACAGATCTATGGCAGGGCTGGGAAGTTGGCTCAGTAATAGAGTGTTTGCCTCATATGCATAAGGCCCTGGGTTCAATTCCTCAGCACCACATGCCAGAAGTAGCACTGTGGCTCAAGTGGTAGGGCGTTAAGCCTTGAGCTGAAGAGCTGAGGGACAGAGCCCAGGCCCAGAGTATAACTAACAAAAAAAGAAAAAAAAGGACAGATCAATGCAATAGGTTATGGTATACAGTCTATTCTAAATGTATCCATAAAAAGAAAACTTCTTTGTAGAGCCTGTACCCCAATCTATGAACATATCTACTTAACTTATTAGGAAGAAAAAAATCATCAGACTCTCAGGAATTCTTTTCCCTACAAGAAATAATCATAGTTCTACTGTCCAGCCTATTAACTATTCTTTTGTGCACAACAGCATTGCTAAAGAATGCTGTCATTAAAACCATATTTATTTATCATCTAAATTTCATTCATTTGAAAGATAGTGAATGTGTAAGAAATGCCAGTCCACGTGCTAGTGATCTACTGGGGAGTAAGACAAGGACCTGAATTTTGAAGTTTATATTCTGGTGACAGAGACATGGAGGAGAAAGAAATACACAAATTTATTAAAGACTATGCGAGCAATGAAGGGAACAAATACATAATGAGCAGAGAGTGTTGCAGATGGCCTAATGGTCTGAGCTGTCCTCTGAGGAGGTAACATGGTAAGCTGAAGTGAGCAGCAGCTTAAAAAGTTTCCAGGCAAAGGGAACAAGAGTAAAGGTCCAAGGCGGGAAAGAATGGCTATTTTTGAAGAATAAAATGGTACTCCCTGATGTAGCTGAATCTCTCCCTCACAGAAGGGGAAAGACACATGAAAGGAAGCTGGCCATGTAGGCAGAAATCAGATTATGCAGGGTTTTACAGGTCATGGCAAGGGACATTAATAATGTTCTTTGAAGAGGGGCTTTTAGCAACAGAAATAATATGAAATATGAGCTAGAAGAGTTAGGTCACAGTTGAGACTTAATCACAAAGCAGCTGTGTGACCACAGGAAACTACTCACTATTTAGTCTGTTTCTCACTTGTGCAACGTTTATTTACCTTGAATGGTTATTATAAGGATCAAACTGGATCCTGTCCATAAACATTGTAAATCAGAAGAGTTACCTGGCAGAGCAGTGTGCTGGTGAGCATCTTCGATGAGAAGCATCAGTAAGAACATCCAGGGAGTAAAGGGGAGAGAGAGGATTAGACTGTGGGAATAAATAAGATTATTTTAATAAAGTTTAAAGGGACCAGACCTGCTCCCAAAGGGTATCTACTATTTGATTACTTTTCTCTTTGGCTGTTCTATTCTTCTTTCATACTAAACATAGATACACCATTTGATAAAGCTGTGCTTTCCAACTGTGACCAGGAATATGGCACACTTCAGAAGAAAAAAAAACCCTATTCTTTGTTAAACAACAACTAATACACATCTCCTAATACATAAAAATTACTTAAATGGCAGAAGATAGTACTTTCCCAACTGATACGGTAGAAACGTAAGTTCAATGATTACCAAATCCTTCTCCTAAAAAGCTAAGAACTAAATTACCTTTTCATTCCCTTACCCTGGCAATATTTCTAAGAATAACTGGTTAGCACAATCCAGTGGCATAGTAAAGTAGAATCAAAACTAGATGGGAATTAGAATACCTATCTTTGAATCCCAATCTACCACAGGACTGACACATGTTTAAAATTAAACAACCTTTGAGGTTTACTCTTCATCTACAGAGTCCTACCTATTTTAGAAGACACTGACTAAAATATTGCTTTCGAGTTATTTGTGAGCAATTGAGAGTATAGTACAGCGGTAAACTTGATGCCTGGCATACAGGAGACCCTGGCTTCAATCTCTAGCAACAAAAATAACAAACCAAATCAAAGATTGTAAGGATTAAATGGTATGTATATGTACATATAATATACATATATAATATATATGAAAGCACCCCACTTTATGTTTTCTAGCTTTCTTTGAATTTTTCCCAGTATTTTTTTCTAAAAATGTGTAAGTTCGGGGAGGCTGGGAAGTGATGTGAAGGGTAAACAAAGGAGGAGGCTGCAATGCTTGGTAAGAAATGTACGCATTATCCTGCCCATGCAATTGTAACCCCTCTGTACAGTATGTTCACAAATAAAATAAAATAAAAATAAAAATAAAAATGTGTAAGTTTTTACATCTTAAGACTAAAAGAACTTTTGGAAGGTAACTGCAAAAGTATTTTAAAAGCCAGGTACTGGTGGCTCACGCCTGTAATCCCAGCTACTCAGGATGCTGAGATCGGAAGATCACAGTTCAAAGCTAGCACCAGCAGAAAAGTCCCTGTGGGACTCTCCTCTCCAGTTAACCACTCAAAAACCAGAAGTGGAGCTGTTGGATCAAAGTGGTAGAGCACTAGCTTTGAACAAAAGAGCTCAGGGACATAGCCCTGAGCTATGTTCAAATCCTACAACTGCCAAAAACAAAAAAAGTAAGTTTTTTAAAAGGACCTAACAGCATAGAATTCTAGTGTTAAACTAAATGATAACGCAGATCACAAATGAGAATGCTTTCTTAATGCAAAGGTCAAAACTAAAATAAAAACAGGATTCTCTTGAAGGTGTTACATACAACAAATTGATTATCACAGTTGAACCAAATGAGGGGAACTAGGTACAGTTCTTATCAGTATGGAATATTCTTGGAAAGTGATTCTCCAAGAATATCCAATTCACTTGGAAAAAGATACCCTTACCTCATGTGTACAAGCAGAAATGTGAGGAAAATCAGAAGCCAATGCTTTATTCTTTCTAAAGAAAAGGAAATCAAATGATAAAATAAAGATGACAAAGAAAAGTGATCTTACCTGATTTCGTTCTCTTTTTCCAGCTGATGGTAACCAGAAGCTAAGGAAAGGGAGAGAATAATAGGAAAGAAAGCAATAAAAAGATAGGAAATTTATGGAAGGGAAAAGATAAGTAGAATGAAGATAGAAGAAAATGGGAAAAAATGCAACTAGAGGAGAAAAGGAGAGATACTGTATCAGCACTAAATGTAGCTCTCTAAAGGAAAAAGACTTGCAACTGAATGTAATAACTAGACCAGCTAAAATAACCGCAAGATTACACTGTAAAAGCAGCATACTCCCAGCTATGCAGTGACAAGAGGACTCCAACTCCAACTCCACACGCACATCTTGTTTAGTTGGTAAATTTAAAATTACATTGGGCTAGATACTAGACTGTCACTGGATTCTCATCATCTTATATAAGGGACAAAATACAGGCTAACAATTTTTGTAAGTCACTAAATTCCTTTGACATATATATTTATTCAACAGGCATTTAGGTTTTTCCCAGTGAGGAATCATTCAGTGACCAAGTGTGAAGGTTGCTAGACAATAATTATAGAGAGTCAATCATGTAGGGCCCAGCTATCATGACAAGGGACAGATGATTCTTCTGCAGCTACATAAGGTTTGCTGTTGTCCTCACATAGTAAGGTAGAAAGAGTTCTCTACAAACAGGCCTAAAAGTAGGAAACAATATAGGAAAAAGATTTTTCTACAAAGAGGCCTAAAAATGGGAAACAATATAGGAATAGGCAACCACCTACCTTGAACAATCAAAAAAAAAAAAAGTTTGAGAAACAACTGGGCACTGGGGGCTCATGCCTGTAATCCTAGCAATTCAGGAGGCTGGGATCAGAAGATCATTGTTCAAAGCTACCCCAAGCAGGAAAGTGCATGGGATTCTTATCCTCCAATTAACCAGCAAAAAAGCCAGAAGCAGAGCTGTGGCTCAAGTGGTAGAGCACCAGACTTGCGCAAAAAAGCTCGGGGACTGTGCCCAGGCTCTGGGTTCAAACCCCAGGACTGGTGCACACTCACACAAAATAAAAGAGAGAAAGAGAGAAAGAAAAAAAATGAGTTAAAAATATAACATCCTTAGTGATGTATACTAACATAGAACCTAGAGATTTAAAAAAGGCAAGAAAATAAAAACTAGTCTAGAAAGGAAAACTACTGCCATGATTTTAAGACATTGGCCATCTTAACTAGCACAAAGTAAAAACCTTTCAGTTCTCTTTCAGCGCTGTAGTTCAGTTTCTAAGATTTCATAAAAGTTTCCTGTTTCCTTCCTAAGGTACAGGTTAGGACAGCCAGAAAATACTTAAGGACTTACTCTTTCTGTTGGGGGTCACTGATGATATGGCTTATCCTCTCAGTACCAAGAGTGCTTATGCTGGCTTCCTAAAATTAAGAGAAGGACAAGAATATTAGCCAACTACAGAACCAAATATATACACAGAACATATACATACATGCGTGTGCACCACACACACACGCTCACACTTCCCATAACTATGCCAGCCATGCAGATTTCAAATGCATTTGTCAAATGTCAATTTTTAAAAACAGCATGTTGAGTATGTGTGTGTGTCTGTGCGTCTGTTTGCCTGTGTGCTTATGTGTAGAAGTAGAACCACTTCTTCAGAAATACTCAACAGCCACCAATGTTTTTTGTCTTTCTGCCTCAGCCTCCTGAGTGCTGGGATTACACCTATATATACTCACAGTAGCCAATTTTTTTAGGCAGGCCAGCATATCAGACTCATCAATTATGTGATTATAGCTCTATTAGCCTTTCTATGGGGACATGCTTATTCAGGTGGCTTATATAAAAGGCTATCTTTATGTATCTTTTATGCTGGATACAAATACGAGATATCTGTTGAATGAATGTATACACATCAAAGGACTTTTGTGACCTACAAAGAATTATCACCATGAATTTTGTCCCTTATACATCATCTGAGAGTAAAAATAAAATTGATTCGTAAATTCAGTATTCTCAAGATGATAATATGAAAGCTTACCCATAATACCACAAGCAATTCAAAAACTAATAACCTACAAAAATTGTAAAGTGGCAGAAGGCATTCATCCTTCATTTAACTTGAACACATTTATAGTGAATAGTTATCACAGTACCTAAGAATGCATAGCAACCCATATATGAATAAGAGTTACACACATATGAGTAAGCGCTAAGACAAAAGAACGTAAGTTATGAACATAAATGTCAAGAACATTGAGCTTGTTACTAAAATAAAACTCATTTTTTTCTGGTAAATGTTATTATCTATATTCATCTATGTATATGGATTAGCCTAAACATTAGGATACACATTTTAGCGAACAACTGGCTATAGACATATTAATTTGGAGGTCAGATTGTAGAAGGGAGTGAAGCTAAATGAAAAGGGCTCACATACTGCATTCTTCATATTCCTCATCCCTCATGGCTATGCCTACTGGTTGCAGACACAGAACAGTAGAGGAGCCAAGGGAAAAGATGGGTGAAAAATGAGCTATTTGTTACAGCAGAAAAATTATTAACTTAAAATGCCGTAATGTTTAAATTTACAGTTTATTACTGTGTAAATTACAAGCAGTACTTTGCGTAATTAGCAGCTCACTGGCAGGGAGCTGTGAATGAAACTCATTATTTATGGTTACAATTTAGAAAAAGAGAAGAAAGATGGGGGAGAGGGATGGGGGGAGAAGAGCGGTGACCTCTGCTAGAAATGACAAATATTCCTTTAAGGTGATGAAGATGAATTAAACAAGTAAACATTATCCTATTTATTTGAAATCATTAGAGGCATGTCCAATAGACTCTAGATACTTTCAGACATGCAAAAGGGACCCCTAAACTGACTCACTTCCACAGAAGTGGAAGGCTCTCAAATCCTACATAACACTGTTCACACATTCAGTCCCCCAAACATTCAGTTGGTTTCATTAACTCCAGGTATTTTGTGGCACCTTTAGTTGTCAACAGGGCACACAAATCCCATAGGGAATGCCACCTTCCCATAGCATCTAGGAAACCATGAGAGCTATCACCTTCCCAACCAGCCTTCTTCGTCCCTTCCTGAGGCATCTAGCTGCAGCTCCTGGCAGGCGATTTAAGCGAGCATGGTACCCTAAAAAAATAAAAGAAAGAAAGAAAAAAGTCTCAGTTACTAAACACACAAAATTCATAAGCATGGGTAGCCTATGCCTATGTAAGTGTTCCTATCTCAAAAGAAAGGAAGAGGGGCTGGGAAGGTGGCTCAGTGGTAGAGCGCTTTCCTTGCATCCATGAGATCCTGGGTTCGATTCCTCAGCACCACATAAGCAAAAAGAAAAAAGCCGGAAGTGGTGCTATGGCTCAAGTGGTAGAGCGCTAGCCTTGAGCTGAAGAGCTGAGGGACAGTGCCCAGGCCCAGAGTTCAGGCCCCACGACCGGACCAAAAAAAAAAAAAAAATTAAATCCTACATAGAAATTTACAGTTCTCAGTATAATCGTGACTACCCTACAATGCTCAACAAATATTTGGTACTTGTTACAGAGACTCCTAGAATTATAAATTTACTGAGCTGAAGAAATGTATAAAAGAGTCTTGTTCAATGTCATGTCTTAAGCAATGACCCTGACATCCCTAGGGATTGAAGTGCCTTGGTTACAACCACAGAGCTAATAGACTGTATAAGGAGAGTATTATTACCACAATAACATCTCCATATCTTAGGCTTTTTACCCTACTTTGCTACCTTATAAATGAAGGAAAAACAAAAGGAAAGGATATGCATTTGTGCTGAAATGTGTGATAACAGGATCATTAATATGATCCTAAATGTATTTTTTTAATTTTTAAATTATCCATGTAAAAATGCCATTACACCTTGTATGTGAATGTTCTTATGATAATCTATTCCTTTACAAGAAAAAAATCTCTCACTGAGCTTCCAATGAACTCTCAATAATCTATTATCTACACAGAAGGATGAGCAGCCACTACATGTAAGGCTTCCTAAATCTGGCACAAATTGGCAACAAAGGCTAAGGAATGCCCTATTAATATATGTCCCAAGAATCTCCATAGATTGAATTAGCTAGAACTGCAAGTTTGAGCTTTGAGGCTCAAGAATCCTCTAGAAAATCCCTAGCATAGCAACACAATTGAGATACTGGTGCGTATTTAGAGGCATGTTTGAGCAAAGACAACCATAAAAGCATAAATTATATTTTACATTTTAGTCTCCTCCAAACTCACCTCTCTGAGCTGGCCGGGAAGGTAAAAGGAATGTGGGGTCTGAAAGTTTATCCAGTCCAGAGTCCATTCTTTCTACTTCAGTGCAGTGATCAGGAGCCCACTTGGGTAGAAGATTAGGGACAGTGAATCCTGGGACACATTCTCCTTCATAGAACCAATCACTCTGCTCATCATCCCCTAAAGCAAATAGGTCATGTCATAAGTTGGAATTTCAACATGCACCAAGAAAAAGCAAATAGGAGGATGTCTTCTCAGTGCTACAGTTTTAATTTTTTGTTGTTGTTGTTTTGCTTGTCTTGGGGCTTGAACTAAGGGCACAGGCACTGTTCCTAAGCCTCTTTGTGTTAAGGCTAGCACTCTACCATTTGAGCCACAGTCCCATTCTGGCTTTTTCTGAGTAGTTTATTGTAGTCTAATGGACTTTCCAGCCCAGGCTGGCTTTGAACCATGATCCTCAGATCTCAGCTTCCTGAGTAGCTAGTGTTATAGGCATGAGCCACTGGTGCCTGGCTTGATAAGATTTTCAAATAAAGTACCAAAAATTGTTCTGGCCCTTCTTCCTAATAAAATTTCAATGAAAACTGAGATACCAAATTAGTGTCACATGAACGCTATTCTGTGTTAGACTGGATTGCTCTAATAGTGAAAACTAGTAAGGCTGCTGCTTACTCCTTACTAAACTGTAAATATGTAATCCCTTCCAATCCCTATATTAATTCCAACTTATAACAAGGTTTCTAATGTCCATAGAGAAGTCAAGTTAAGTTACTAAATGAAGACACCAGAATTTGAACTTAAAGCTGGGTTAACAAAGCTTGAAGTCTTTTCCACAAAAAATAAACTGTCTTCCTTACCGTTCTTCCTACTAAATACAAATTTAGGGGTTCACAGCCACAAGGTCACTTTAGTCCTACTCCTGCTGAAGGTGATTTGTCTTTTGGTGTATCTTTTTTCCTGTAGCTACATTTCTCATAATATGTTTGCCTTACCTTGTTTAATAATCCTTGGTATCTTGTTCAACTAACAATATAATTCTCTAAAGATTTTCAGAAAGTGATCTCATGTTGCCAAAGTTATGCTGTTTATAAATCATAAAGTCACAACTAGACCCATCTATCTAGACTCTTGGTTCAAACCTCTTCCTACTAGCTACTATAATAGCTTCTCAGTTTCCAAAAAAAAGTTATTCCTACCAATAAGACAGATAAGAATAAGGAAGGTAACTTCCTGTTTGCTGCCTCATCACCTTTTCAAAACTGCAAGGATGAAGGAAATAACAAGAACATCGAAAGAAGCCCACAGTACATTCAGTCTCTAATATATACTGGACCCCAAAGAAGCCCCTCAGGACATGACAGTCACATGAAGCCACTATCACCCAGGGTAGTGAAAGTCTTAAAGTAAAAACCTCCAGAAGGGGCAGTAAAAGATGCACTCTGGTGAATAGCAGCAGATATTGCCACTTAACAAGTTACTCAAAGTGGTCCAATATAAACACAAACTACAAACAATTGTCTCTCTAAAAGAGAAGACCTCAATGTTTACCTTGCACCAGAAATACCACTCATTATAATAGAGGGGGAAATAGAAAAAGGTTGCAACACATGGGACATAATACACCAACTGCGAGCACTACCCCCATTTCTGATTTTGGCGTGGGTAAGACCAAAAACTTGCATTTCTAACATGTTTCCTCATGAAACTAAGCTGGTCTGGGGTCCTTGTTTAAAAAACACTATTCTAAGAACATCTTATCTTATTGACTACTGATGAACCATGATTACTTCCATGTTCATTCCTTTCTTACCCAGAAACTCTCCCTAGAATATTTCTTGAAATAGACTATCTACTCAGATCAGTTTTTCTGATGATTAATGCCAAACTATAGCTGGATTTTTTTTTTTTTTTAGTTCTCAAGTGTCTACTCATGATTTCCAATAATAGAGAAAGGACTCATTGGGTCAAGATTATTTGCAAGTATGAAAATAAGACTAATGGGCCAGGTGTGGGTGGCTCACGCCTGTAATCCTAGCTACTCAGGAGCTAAGATCTGAGGATCCCAGTTCAAAGCCAGCCTAGGCAGGAAAGTCTATGAGAATCCTATCTCCAATTAACCACCAAAAAACTAGAAGTAGAGCTGTGGCTCAAAGTGGTAAAGCACTAGCCTTAAGCTCAAAAACTCAAGAACAGCCAGACCCTAAGTCCAAGCCCCACTGTAATTGTTCTGTAAAAGGAGAAAGATAAATAGGGAGGGGGTAAAACTGACTGGGATACATTATAAACATGTGGAAAATAGTCCTTCCCCTACATAACCAGTATAAGCTACAGGATTCATTGTAACATTGTAAGATCTAGACCAAAAGTTTTCAACATGAATTCACTATAATGCCTGATGCAGGAATTACTTAAAAGGAGTGCTGCCAGGAAATAAGGAAGAGGGTAAGTGATCAGGCTCCCCACCTTTACTTCCTCTAGCATCTTGATGCAGATAGATTCAGATGTTCTCCTAATTTGGGATTCTACGTACAATGTTGTCTGGAGAAGAAAAGGAGAGTGTTCTCCCTATCGTGGTTTCTCGTTATTTATTAGAAGCTTATTAGAAAGCAGGCAATGTGATAGGTATCATAGTTATAAAGTAATAAAATAATTCCTCCCTTTGGAAAGCTTCAGTGGAAAACACTAAACAATACCTATGATATATGATACCTATGATAGTTTTTTAAAGTCAATAGGCACAAGGGACCACTAAAGCATACACACACACAAAAAGGTAAGGACTGTCAGTCAAAATGTTTCTCATGAAAAATGCACACTTAAATGAGATATTCAAGGACACTTTAATGATGTGACTACTTATAAAGGTACGAGTGTATAGAACAAGAAAACTACCAAAGGAGGCAGAAGCCCAGAATCAGCACAGCAGAGTTTTTACCATTATTACACCTGGAAAAAAGGAAAGATTGGTTATTAGAGCCAAAGAAGAAACTGCAATTTTAGGCTAAAGCTACGATACAGGAGTGGTAGTCTTCAACAGAAGAGCAAAATTCAAAAGAAAGGGAGTCGGGGAGAGTTTCAATCCAATGTGGTAGACTGCACTATTATTCCATTATCACCTTCCTGTACTAGAATGATTCATCCACATTCTTTGCCTTTTGCCACTCAATTCCACATTGCCTTCCCCTTTAGGCAAATCATTCTTCTTCATCCTACTGACATTGGGCCTGTTCATATGACTTGCTGTAAATAGCAGAATATTAGCAGTTGTGACTTAAGGCAAAAATTTTTAAATATACATGCACAGTCTGGCTTGGTAATTTGGCATTTATGTCTCTGCCATAAGAAGTCCATGTTGTATATAGCCACTACTCCTTTAGCCAACATAAGATACAATAAGTTGAGGTAACTATAACTCTTGAGAGCAGCTAAGCCCAGGCAAGATCATTTAAATTATAGTCAATAAAAATCTTCACAGTTGGGGCTGGGAAGGTGGCTCAGTGGTAGAGTGCTTGCCTTGCATGCATGAGGCCCTGGGTTCGATTCCTCAGCACCACATAAGCAAAAAGAAAAAAGCTGGAAGTGGCGCTGTGGCTCAAGTGGTAGAGCGCTAGCCTTGAGCTGAAGAGCTGAGGGACAGCGCCCAGGCCCAGAGTTCAGGTCCCACAACCGGACCCCCCCAAAAAAAAATATTGCCAAGAATCTCTTTCAAATAAGCTATACAATCATAAGATGTCTAGTACCTTGAGCTGGAGCTTAGCAAGCACAGGTTGTGTGAGCCTTGAGTTCAAACCCCAGTATTTCCCCTGACCTCAAAGACATCTAGGACCTCAAGTTTTCTTCTACTTACAAAGCAGCAAATAAATCCATAAAGACAAAAAAAATGGCAAAAATTCTAATTTCCAAAATTTTATGTCTTCTTTAATATCAAACATATATTTCAGACTAATTCTGGAAAAAGGAATTATAAGTTAAAAATTAAGATTTAAAAAAAAAAACTTGGGGCTGGAGACATGGCTCAGTTAGGAGAGTACTAACCAATGAGTGAACGCATCAGATACTAAGTTCAAGTCAGAAAAAAAAAAAATCTTCATTTTTGAGTCACTGAACTAAAACTTTTGTTCTAATAATTGATTCTGCTTCATCTTACATTATTCTCTTACACCCAATCTTCACTGGATTTGATTTGGTTGGTTCAAGAAAGTTTTCTCTATCTTTTACAATATTAGTTATTAACCATCCATGACTGGGAAAGTTTCCTTCTAAGCTAGTCAATTTCTTTGAAGATAAAGAAACAAAAAGAATGAACAACCATCTTCACTCTGCCACAGAAGAAACAGGCTTGGTAAAATCCCAATCTACATTCCTGGATCAAAAATCTGAAAATATGTTACATTTTGCAACATTTCCAAATGGCTGGCCAACACTAGGTCCTCAAGAGCTGCTTAAGTTAACTGCACTGCTTTCCTCATTTAAGCTTGTCTTTGAGCAACAGATGCAAGGTAGATGACACAGCAAGATCCAAAAAAGAACACTACCTCTGTATAGGTCATTTCATTTTCTTTTCTTTGCCAGTCCTAGGGCTTGAACTCAGAGGCTGGGCACTGTCCCTGAGCTTCTTTTGCTCAAGGCTAGTGTTCTACCACATGAGCCATAGCGCCACTTCTGGCTTTTTCTGTTTATGTGGCACTGAGGAATTGAACCTAGGGCTTTGTGCATGCTAGGCAAGCACTCTACCACTAAACCACATTCACAGCCCTCGTTTTATTTTCTTGTGTATTTGTAAAAGAGAAGATTCTCAAAGGTCATTTCTCAACTACACTACTAGAATCGGCAAAGGGCTCTACAGTGGAATTCAGAAGACATCCTCACCAAGTACTGCGTTCTTCTGCTTCTGAGTTCAAGGTGCTGTGTTTATTGAGCTGATAAACTCAATGATTATGTTTTTGTATTTTTAGCAAATCTGAAGAAAGTGATCTAACTCTACCAAGTCTTACTCATATAGTACTGTTCATTACTTTTTTCTTAATTTTTAAAAGGTTTATATCATTTTATTATGTTGATCAAACCCAGAGCCTTGTACATACATATTAAACATATATTCTTCAACTGTTATTTATTATTCTTTTTGTCAGTCATGGGGCTTAAATTCAGGGTCCAGGTGCTGTTCCTGAGCTTTTTCT